TCGAGGATTACAGGCGTGATGCTATATATGTATGAATGTATTGCAAGCAGTTCTTAAATTTTTATTGTTACCACCAGTTACAACCAAACACTTGTTTTTAATTTCATTGGTGCCAGCAAGGATCGATCCGATCTGATTGCGTACTATGAAATAACTTCACAGAGTGAAGAAACCTATGTATGTATTCATGCTTGAGGCATAGAATATTTTGAGGACATGTGAAGTCCACTAACATATGCAGCGCTGTGGACTTATTGCTCTCTCAGAAATGAGATAAAACTCAGTTGTGGAACATTACATTTTTTAATATAAATAATAATAGAAACAGAAATAGTCACTTTTTATTTTGTATAGATTATAAATAGTACTTATTAAAAATCACTCTTTTTTAATTACTGTGGGAAGAACCAGTAAGAAGCCCAGCGAGACTTTTTTTTAAATAACAGCTTACAATCATTTACCAATCATTACACAATTGACAACACAAAACAAATATAAATGTCTTGGTAATGGTCATTCCCACGGGTTATTATCATCCATAAAAACTTAATATTATAACAGTCCTTTTTTATACAAACATAGTTTAATAAAGTTTTTAACTTAAGAGCAGGTCAAATTTTATATATTTATGAAATTAGGTAGAGTCATCTAAAACAAAGCGCTTTTATTTTTATTTTATTTTTACTTACCTAAATACTGTAATAGAAAAGTACGCCGGAAATCGTAATAGCTATTACGTAATAGCAATTACTGAACGCACGCCGCATCCTTGTACATATTTGTGAACGCTACAGACTCACGTGGCGTACACACGCGTCAACTGTTTTTCTTGTCAGCCAGTTTTTTTTAACATACGTCTGTTTAACGTGACTCCATTGTAGCTTGCACTCATTGTTTTTTTTTTATATACATATAATGAATGGAAAGTAGATACTACAACTACTTAGTAAATTGTTTTTTACTGCACCGCTTTCCTACTTGCCCATTTCTCGTAGAAACGCAGCTTTTGTTTCCTTAGTGGCGGTCGCTCGAAATGTTTGAACGCGCTGCTACCTCAATCGCCCAGTCGTAAGCTCTCAAAGTAAGACCTAAGTGAAGAGCGTTAAACATTATTTATTACATTTTTACATCACATTGAATGACATTAATATTCTAGTCTAAGAAAAAAAAATTTTTATTTACATTACATGTTTAAACGTTATAATATAAATAGAGAAATAATGAGCTAGTTATACCATTTTTAGTCACTAACGTGCAGTTGTTTTAAATCGAAATCACTCATATTTTTAAAGGCCGTTATAATTAATAGACTGTGATGATTAACGTCCGTTTACCAACCAACGGTTTCATATGGTCGTATGAAAAATGAAAAATATTATAAACACAAAAATATGTGCTTCATTGTGTAAGACAAAAACATTTATCTATAATATATAATAATTTTATTTTTACTTTCATCGTCATTATTAATTATTATACCCTGCATCGTCATTATTAATTGTAATACAGAATACCTACTAGAGTATTATTTACAATTTATTTGACTATCAGATGTTTTGTGGCTCAGGACCGTGCTTTGTGGCATTCCTTGGGGGAAGCCTATGTTCAGCAGTGGACTTATGAAAGGCTGTAATGATGATGATGATGATGATGAATCGGATTTTTTTATTTATATAAAATAAAATAATTATAAACATTTTAAAATAAAAGTATAACCAGATACCCGTTTTATATATAATATATTATAAAATATATATATATATATATATATATATATATATACATATATATATATATATATATATACAATACAATACAATACAATAACTTTATTTCAGGCATCAAGGACTTAAAAATTAAGAACATTGGCCCATAGCAATATATACCTTAACCTAAAAATATATATAAAATATAGACATAACACTATTTAGGGAACTTTTTTCTTAGGCGCGTCCCTGTATCGGCGAAACACTACCCCAGAGGGCCAGAAATCGGGAGCGAGGAATGTCTCTTTGTGTTTTGCAGGAACCTGGAGTACGTAGGATTTGAAGTTCGTTGACCTATTAGATTCCAGACGCTGCAAATGTAAAGAGATCGGGTCCTCCATGCGGCATCGGCTTCGTTCTTCCACGAAACGCAGGACGTCTTCTCCTGACGTACTTTTGTCCAAACGGGAGATGTAGAGCTGTATAGTTGGCTCCACAGCACGCAGGGTTGTACTCGCGTTTATTTTGGCCGTCCCACGCTGGTTACAGACGGGTCTTGACCGACGTCTCTTCTCAACAAGAGTAAACCCGTCCTTATCAATTTTTTCTTGGGTCACCACTGGAACTGATTTTATTTCCACGTTCTTTCGCTTTCGACCACAAGAGGGTGACGGTTGTAAGGATTTTCGGGCAACATCCGCAAACGTCTTCCCTTGTTTTGAGTTTGGCTTCGGCGGAGGAGTACTAATGGGTTCAGTCAAGGGTTCAGGTGGTGATGCAATGACGACCGAGGTCGCCCTAGTTTCACGGTCATCAACCCGCTGACAGGCGATATCGCATGACGGAGTCGCAATCATCGGTGAAATATGACTACTATTACGGTTACCGCGTGTCGTATTAACATTCTGCGACGGCGGTGAATTCGCAGATGTTGCAATTATGTTTCGCAACATATTGACTTCGTTCCTCAGCTCTGTTGCGGCTCGTTCCGATTCTTCAAATTTGGAACGGATGTCGGTAACATCGGTTTTCAACGTGGTGATGTCTTTCAACAATCTGGTCACGTCTACGTGATCGAACGTGACGGGAGACAGCTTGTTGAGATCACGCGCGACGAAAGTTGGGATGTCATCAGGGTCAGTCTCATTGAACAGCCTGAAGATGTCTTGCAGGTCTTTCTTACCGCGTCCATCCCTGTGACGTGTGATGAGACGGATTTGGCTCACGGCTGAATCTGCTAACACCTTCTTCGCTTGGATTATCTCGTCCTCGGTGAAGCTTGTCATCAGTATCTGCTCCAGAGACATCTGGTCCATGACGTCCAATTTTTGTTGAACAAAGGCCAGGAACTCGTGAACTACGACGGTTTCGGAGCATTTAGGTTGACACGCCATTTCGAATTATTTTCGCGCAGTAGGTATGCTTACGCTACGAAAATATTGTAGGTTCGGCATTAGAGCCGTCACGTCATTACGAAGCGACTGCACTGACCGGTAGTAAAATTGCGACTGATTATATATATATATATATATGTGTGTGTGTGTGTGTGTGTGTGTGTGTGTGTGTGTGTGTGTGTGTGTGTGTGTGTGTGTGTGTGTGTGTGTGTGTGTGTGTATTTACATATGTGTCTTGTTTATGTATACTGTATTTATATAATGCATTTAGGTCGTTTTGTATTGTGTAATCTATTTTTATAGCTGAACTGTTTTCATTTATAACTTATGTTTTATTATTGTCCTTAATTTGCACCTGCCAACATCTTTATTTATTCCATTTTTCGTCGGGTTGACTGGTGGAGAACGCTATAGGGCATTAAGTTCGCCCTTTGTAACCCCTAGTTGGTGTGTTGCAATAAAAGATAAATAAATAAATAAATATGTGCTATAATCTTACAAGTCGCGGTAGAGCCAAGAGCGCTGCGTTTACCCTCTGAATATATATACATATATGCTTTAATAATATATTATGGTATGGTCGAAAAAGCTCTCTGGTTACCAATGACGTTGAATTCTCGCGGCACGTAGGCAGAGAGTCTCTAAAGACAATTGCTCAAAAAATTCTCTCTTCCTGTCTATCCACCACCCTCCCTCTGCCTCTCTTTTATGTGCTAAAATTTATTGATAAAAACCTAATGCAAAAAATAATAAAGGTGTGGCCTTTATTATCCTCCTTTCCTCTCTCCCTCGTGTACAATTACATTACATTACATCATGTGAATGCATCATACATTACGCACGGTATAGCAGACGCTTCAAATACTAGAATGGACTGAGATAAAGAGCGCACGTGACAGTTTAACCGAGACGTAAGGTCAATAAACTGGTTGTATGGCAAAATTTTGCAATAATCAATGTTAATATACGTTCACTACTATATCAAATTTCAAGAAAATAAGCACCATAGAATCTGTACTCGTCTATGTTTAATCTACCTGAATTTTACTTTTTAGTTTTAATTAAATAATCCTTTGATTACTAATAAAATCAAACATACACCCATCCAGGGATCCAATACCAGGGAAGGTATATATTATCATGTAACTTTGCTGGTATTAAGTAACAATTTAGGTAAGGTATATTGTTATAACATATCTTCCCTAAATTGTTACTCTGCCTTATTCCTTATACGTTATACGTGCCATTCTACGCCTGAATGGAAAAAAAATACTATTTAAATGAACACAAAAAATACATCCACAATTATGCTAGTAGGTCGCCTGAAATAAATATTTCTTCTAAAGTAATTGCTCTCGTTTTTGAAGTTGTTTACTCCTAATGATATCGATGTAATGTAGTCCATCTAAGTACTTCCTTTATAGTATCTATGTACATCTTTTACTTTGCTTTTGAATGTCTATAGTTTTTGTTTTTTAAGTTTAGGGTAACAAGCAAGTAATCAATTAAGAAATAAAATGCGGATGCGTTGTCGCCTCTGAGGACTGAGATGAAATGCCTAGTTTCCAGTAAAAAGGGTCTCCGGTTATCTACACTCACCATACGAAACACAGCAGAATTAAGCTGCTATTTTAAGCTGGTATTCTGTGTGAGCGTGGCGACCCCGGTCGAGCGAACCCATATGAGCTACAACCTAATTTAGGTGCAGTTATAATAGGATTGGTTCTAATATTTTCTTAATATTTAGTATTTTATATAGTAAAGTAAAGTTGCAGCGTCTATACATCTCAGAGCTGGACACAAAACGCATGTCATTTCTAAGAGGTTTTAAAAACTACACGACGTATTGTATTTCTAGAAAGTAATAATTTGTACAACTTTACTATTTCTTTTGTTTTAGGGTCCCAACTGGCTCGCGTGCGTGAGGCGAGACGTCTGCAAAGACTTAACTGGCTTGCTTCAACGAGCAACACTGAAGAATCCAATCCTGCGCCAACTCCAAATCTGCAGGCTCACAAAGCAGCGCAAAATCGCATAATCTTGGAACTCGCTTGGAAAACGATCGTACTAATGCACAAAAACCGATTGATCCAACAAAAAATAATCGCTTTGCAAAAAGAAACGTCAGAGTTCGTTGCATCTGTAATGAACAACCCCGAAAATAGACAGCGATATATGGAGCAGATCCGATTGCACGTAATCGCGCAACAAATGCAACGCGGGAACACGGAGGCTACCAACAAGCCTTTGAAAGTAGAACCCAATGTCCAAAATGAATCCTAAATTGTTTGAAAGATAAGGAATAAATGAATGAATGAATGAACATGAGTATATAGAAGGTGAATGGTTGTGTTTCGGTCAGTTTTATAACGCATATAAATTTATATAAGACTTTTAGTTAAACCTTAGCACTAAGTCTTTTAGCCTAATGTTTATAATGCAAGAAACCATAGCATTCATAGCATCATACATGCATAGGAACTAAAGCATTAATATTCATGTACTTATCAATGACAGTTAATCAGGCATTTTTCTAATTTATTTTAACACTTTTGCCAGCAATAATAATTAACTACAGTGTCTTACTGAAAGCGTTGTGGTTATTATAGTAGTTCTTGTTGTAAAATAAATAAAACTGAGGTTGTATCTAAAGAGGCTGGTTAATATATTATATGTATCTACTTTGGTAAATAAACTTCGTAACATTTTAGTCTTCATGTATTTTTAAATAAATCATACGAGATCACTTTTGTATTATATTTAATACTTTAAGACATTTTGTAAGCTGCCTGTTAAATCATTTGAGTTGTTGAAGTAGAAAAAGTTATTGATTTAATTTTTCACTGTTAAATCTTATATTTTCAAAGAAATCTCATAAAGATATTCGAAAATAATTATGTCACTTAATTAAAAAAGTTTGTAAATAGATTCCGTGGTGGAGAGATAAAAATAAGTTGTCATCTCGATATTTTTTGTGTGAAAATATAAAGAAGTTGTTAATGTAATGATTTCTTACGATTTACGCGAACACTACACATTGAATAAAACTATTTTTACGGATTTTATCGCGTTTAATTAACTTATTTTATATTCCCGACGTTTCGGTTGCTTTCCAGCAACCGTGGTCACGGGGGACTGAGGTGATTGACGTCCCGATGTCAGTGTTAAACCGGAGTACCTCGATTCGAGAGTCACATCGATTCCTGCCAAGGATGATACGTGAGGCAATTGAAATTAAAAAACATCCTAATTTCCATAGAGAGGGAGGCTGGGTACTACCACCTGCTTGGGATCCTGTAATTCATAAAATTAAAACTAAACCCAAGCATACCACTGCAAGACTTCAAGACACAGTTAGTTCATTCTGCGTAGATCGGACCAAAATTATTAATTAAAAAAGCTGAAGGTACTCCGGTTTAACACTGACATTGGGACGTCAATCACCTCAGTCCCCCGTGACCACGGTTGCTGGAAAGCAACCGAAACGTCGGGAATATAAATTTTTTTTTTTTTTTTATAGGATAAGGGTGACAAACGAGCACACAGTCCACCTGATGGTAAGTGGTTGCTGCGGCCCATAGACATCTACATCTATCCTCGTTTGCGAATCAAAATGCAGATGCGTTGCCACCCGTGAGGACTAAGATGGAATGCCTCATTTCCAGTAAAAAGGGCCTCCGGCCACCTGCACTCACCAAGCGAAACGCAGAGGTAAACCTCTACTTCACGCTGGTATTCTGTGAGGTCGTGGTACCACCCCGGTTCGAGCCGGCCCATCCGTGCGACAGCAAAAGCTGCCGCGTGGCTCTACCTCTAAATAAGTTAATTAAACGCGATAAAATCCGTAAAAATAGATTTATTCAAAGTTGCTAATGATGTAACTAGTAAGTAAGTGTAATTTTCCATTGAAAGTATTTCTATAACTCCAAGACTTTTTCCCACAATTTTATACTCGCTAAAGACCGATCTCAAGCAAGCCTTATTATTATTCTACCGACTTCAAAAAGGAGGAGGTATTCAATTCGATTGTATGTTTTTTATGTGTGTTATCTTATAACTTTTTTCTTGGTAAAACTATTTCAATGATACTTTTTTTTATTTGAAAGCTGGTACTTTTCATGTGGTTCCATTTAAAGTTGATCAAGGACTGACCAGTAGATTTTGAGTTATCCTTAATAATTTATTTTGAAGTCGCTTGTACAAAATTTTTAATTTTACCGTTTGTTTTTCAAAAATATTTACCCTTGATATAAAGAACGAATGTATGTATTGGTTTTAAAATACTCTTAGGTTATCAAGCGAATGACAAACACTGTTGTTTTCCGCTTCGATAATGATATAACAATCCTATGAAAGCTAATCTAAGCTTATTTTTATTCATCACTTTTTTGTCGAGATAGATTGCATTTAATAGAATGTAGTGAGCACTAGACAATTGCCGTGAGGTTACGGTGTGAGAAAATCTATCGCCCCATTTCATCTATTAAATGGCATGTCAACTATGGTGCGTGCCTTAAAAAACTAATAGCTTCCAACAGATGGCGGTATAAACACCTCATTTACACCATACATAATACAACAACAGTTCAGCAACGAACATTTCTCGTTTCTCACGTCTGGTATTGCGATCGTCAATCTACCTGTCAAGTCTACCAACAACAGAAGAGGCCCATGCTCAAAGTAGGTACAAGCATATTATGAAAGAGTATGTACCTACATACTATATATTATGTAATAAATCTAAGGGCCCGTGTATAGCAGTTGACTTTGACAGGCTAATGAAGAAGAAAGGGCATAGATTTGCAAAACACTGTGTTCATTTTTAATTACATATATTTTATTAGTTTCAAGTGAGTAGTTTGATAATTTATTGTAAAGTATTATCTCTGCTGCGTAGCCATACCTATAGTTTAGTTTAGGCACAAAATACCTAATCTCAGTTTTGTAGTTTAAGCAAGGATTTTTGGTATACTGGCCAAATTTAATGTTTATTACTTATTTTCTAAAATACAAAGGATTATATACATATTTCTGGATCTCAACAACAGTCTCACCTACCGGGTCCAATTGTGAATTTAAATCATTCTCGAATCAACTTAATCACACACAAAATTCATCAAAATCTGTCCATCCGTATAGGAGTTCAGTCACATACACACGGACAGAAGAATTATAATGTATAAAGTGTATATTATGTATTTCATTCAATTATATTCCCTTTTTTTATTAAATTAAAAATATTGAATACCATATTATGTCGAGAATATAATCCAAAAACCTTAAATCGTCACTATGAGTCATAAGGTTACGCAACAAAAAATACCTTAAAATTAAGTTACCTTTCATAACGGTAGTATCTACATTATTAATTAAAATTATCAATTCAAGTATTATTATTGTTACGGCACAACACTCCCAGAGTATGAAGTTTTGTTGTTGTTTTTTTTTAAGATTATAAAGACCTACCTAAGCGGTTAATGATTGTTAAATATAAGTTACTTTTAAAGAATATACTAGTCTTTCCCAAAATACTATGATGTTTATTTTTTTACGAATTTTCATTCCTTAAAACAAGTAATCGTTAAGAGCTATAGAAGAAAGGACGCTAAAAAAGAGAGCTCTTTTTTTTTATATGCTAAGTAAGTACAGTACAGACCGATTTAAACCACGGTGACAGTTTCAGCATGCGTTCTCATCGACTGCGCATGAGTTGGATTGGCGAAGTACACGCGCGGAAAGTAAAAGTACTGCCGATGTAAATTATAATGCTATAACATCGGGTTTTTTTTTATAGGATAAGGGTAACAAACGAGCATAGAGTCCAAGTGATGATTAAGTGGCTACTGAGGCTAATAGACATCTACATTTATCCTTTAATAAGAATCAAAATGCAAATGCGTTGCCACCCCTGCGACCTGTATGATCTATTGTGATCACTAGTACTTAGTAATATAACAATGGGAAAAATGTTTTCTACCAGCTGAATAAAACACAACTAAGTAATATGATGTTAACATATTATGATGTCCTACCCATAAACCTTACAATAGGTACTTTTAGCAGATCTTCTCAAAAAGTGAATAGGAATTTTTATATTTTTGTAACAGTTAAATTATCTGGGTCTGCTAGAGTTATAATGATTTTTTTTTAAATAATTTTAGTAACAAACTAACGCAGCGTACACCCAAAGATAATTGGCTACTGCAATCTGTGGACACCTGTAGTCAACTTCAAACACAGAAGGATATAGAAGCGTTGTCACCTCTGAGGTCTGAGATGGATTGCCACATAGCCTGTATCTACGTATTTATCCAGCACTTTAAATTGATTACACCTACCATTCATTTAAATATTATTTTAGTACATACATACAAATATATGCGTCACGCCTATAATCCCTTTCAGAGTTCAAAGAGCGAACCATGTTTAGCCAAAGAGAAGTGAAAAGAGCTGTGGTAGCAAAGCGTGGATGTTAACCGCTCGCTGTAAATTTCACAGTACGCGAGCCACGCGGGTTCGATCCCCGCCGGTACCAGTGAAATTGTTACTGGCAATTTTAAGTGCTGATTTACCACGTGCTCGGCCGTGAAGTAAAACATCATGAGGAAACCTGGAGTTCACCAACACGCATTGCCTTACATTTCCTTGTAGTAAAACCCTCTCAGAAATGAGAGGAGGACAGCAGTAGGACGTATATAGGCTGTAACTGTAACTTTTTCATTTTAAATTTTTTTTATAGGCTAGAGTGACAAACGAGTACACAGTTCTGACGGTAAGTGGTTATTGTGGCCTGTGGCCCATAGACATCTACATTTATACTCGTTTGCGAATCAAAATGCAGATGCGTTGTCACCCGTGAGGACTAAGGTGGAATGCCTTTTTTTCCAGTAAAAAGGGTCTCCGGTTCTCTACACTCACCATATACACAGCACTGTCAAGCTGCCATTTTACGCTGGTATTCTGTGAGAATAGAATAGAATAGAATAGAATGATTTTTATTCAATATGGATTATTACATAATACTTATTGAAAGTCATTATTTTATTTACCACTGGTTCGAAAAATACCTCTGTCCTGGGAAGAACCAGCAAGAAACCCAGCGGGACTTTTTTTTACCAGAGCGTGAGAGCGTGGTCCTTCCCCGGTCGAGCCGACTCATTTGTGCTACAACTATACTACGAATACAGCTGCAGCATGGCTCTACCACGTATAAATTTGTTCAAGTGAAATTTAAAAACAACGTATTAATTTTTTTAATATACCACGATTTATGTGATACTAGT